GATACAGGCATCAAATCCAATTTCTGGCAGAAATATAGATGACAGTGGTTGAAAACAATGGACTTTACCTTGAAGAGTAGTATTCAATAATGTTTAAAATATGTAATATTAAACAAATCTATACTTATGCACAAGAATTTTTTTAAGAACCTAGTATAGTTGACTTGTGTATTGAGTTTTAATTTTTTAGTGTATATATTTTTTTCTAATACCTTTTGTAACATGAACACCTTTTATAAACTTTATTGTGGATTACTGAGATTATGCTGTACTTATAAAACAGTTTTTCTCGTGTGACTTGTACCGGCTAAAGAAGAATGAGAACCAGCCCTTGAGCTTGATCTTGGTTGGGCAGGTTCGACTCCTTCGCAGGAAGGTTGCCAATTGAGCAGGTAGTCCAAGTCATTAGATATCCTGTTGAGCACTTCGGAGGGACTGATTCCTGAGAGAGTCTCTTCAGACGGACCACGCACTTCTGAAGAAGGTTGTACCACGTGTGAGATGTCTGTTGGGGAGATGATTTCAAAACTACTGACGCCAACACACGCTTCAGCAACAGATGTTTTACTATGCTTTTGTGGGCTCTCAGGGTATACTTCAAGATCTACGTTTTGAAGTTTAGTTTCGCCTATAACATAGAAAATATTAAATTAACTTACAATGACAAGAACTGAAGCAGCACTAAAAAGCTCATTTAATGAAAATTAAAAAAAAAAAACAAGTGAAGCAATCAGGATTTAAATTAATAAAAATAAAACAAGAATGAGAATGGGCATTATATGCATTCAAAAAATTATATTTATTAGGTAATATTAGACTATTTGGTACTTCTCTCTTAGAGTCCGACTGCTATCCGCCAATGTTTATAACCTTAACACTGATAAGCTCTTCGTATTCGTATATATTGTATTATATTCATTTTATTATGTGTTCCTATTCATATTGATTGTATTGTATTGATATTATTGAAATTGTGAACAAAAACAGAAAGAAATGTAATAATAAATGCTTTTATTTCACAACGTATATTTAAAAATACTTTTATTTCACAAGGTATATATTAAAATATACCAAAACATAAATATATTAAAAAACATAAATATATACCAAAACATATATATCGTAAAAACATAAATATATACCAAAACATAAATATATAATTAAAAAACATTACGAAAACATTGCAACATACATACAAAAATAAATGAAATAATAAAAATAGGCCAAAAATAGACAAAAAAGGATTAAATAATAAAAAACTACTTTAACAGCATATGTACATATAAAACAAAGATTATGAATAAACGATGGAAACAAAATATGAAAAATTTTATTTTGGTAGGGAAAATAATTTTATCGTATTCAAAATAGCGAGGAAGAGATCCTGATGTTTATGCGCCCGCCGCCACAAAAACTCACATAAATATGAATCCAGGTGTTGTCTGGCAGTTCCTCTGTGTTTTTTATTTCTCCACTTGGCTGAGCCCCATAATCTTTCGATGTGTTGAGTATGGACTCCACTTGATGGATCAACAAAATTATATGTGTGATTGACCTGAAAATGGTCGTAGTTTGCTTCATTCAGTTGTTTTGTGTTGTATCCTTTCCAACAGTCGGAATAAATCGTGCTTCTCTCTTCTACATTGTTTTTGATAGCTTCTAATAAAGTCCCTGCTCTCCTATCCTTTATTTTAACTATAAAACACTTGTCTGTTTCTCGGCAAACTCCGACAAACATCCACTGCTGAGGTAAGACTCTCCCCATATGATTTTTTCTTTTCGAAAAAAGACTCTCGTCTACTTCGACGACTTTGCCAGGCCCTCCAATTTTTTTATTCGACCTGTATAACATGTCATGGGCACAAACTTCTCTTAAAAATTTGTTCCATGCTACGACAGTTTGGGTGGATAGTTTGAGCTGCTCTTTCTCCCACTGAATTGTAGTTAAATTATGGGACCACCCATAAATGAATTTTAAGCCTGTCAAAAAAGAAATCCTGGACCCCTCTAACCACGTTCCTTTCCTTATAGAAACGGTTTTGTTACACCTACGAGAGCATCTCCATTTAATCTTCCCGTCGAACTTCATTTTACGACCATCACAATAATCACAATATTTCACCTTATCAAATATACCGGCGTCTTGAAAATATTTGATAGCCTCTTCTTCCGAAGACGGCAATTCCCACAATGTGACAACATCCATAATTCCAGTTGAAACAAAACAGCACAATATTAACAAAAGAACACAATATAATAGTAAACAACACAATAACTTAAAGAATACTTAAGAACAACTAAACTAAAGAACAAGAAAAACTAAAGAACGCAATAACTTGAGAAACGAGATTGGGTCGATAAGGGAGGTTATCTGAAACGAGATGGTTATCTGAAACGAGATTAGATAAGAAGGAAGGTTTCGACTCTACCCGCTAAGAGAGAAGTACCGACTATTTTATATTCTTTGAAGATCGGGATTTTTTTTTTGCCAATGACAGTCTCTCTATAATTTATATTATTTTATTTCATATCTTATACCAAAGAAGCTTTCGGTGACCAGCACCATATTCAACTCTATAATTACAACACATTATTAACGTGAACGCATCAATTATAAACAGGGAGCCCAGTGATGGACAACTTGGACTTCAAATGTAAATAAATAATAAGCTTCCATGTTGATTGAAAGGTTCCAGTTTTCTATATTGAAAGAACAACACCCTTTATTGACAACTGTATGAACAAATTTCCCAAAAGAAAATTTTAAAATGCCTATCATTGTTGTTTCTATAGTATTCTTGAGATCAGTATTTCATAACTCCCTACTAACAGTTTTGCTAAGAGTAAGTTGAACATTTATGTTAGCTTATCTTTACAGTTGAATTTGAACAATTGAATTTTGGGGTGTCCATCACTAGTGCAAAAAGGTGTTTTTATTTAATGGATATTATACCTGCATAACTGAATCTTTTCTTTTTAATTTTAAAGTGTCAAATAGAAAAAGGAGACCCTAGAGATTCTATAAGTCCAACAGAGAAGTTTACAACTATAATAATTACGGTGACATAAGCCAAAAAAAAAAAAAATTTCCTTAGCTATATCCATGGTATGCTTACCCTAATTAACAACATTAACAATTTGTATATGTTACATAATTTCTAATTGTCATGCAACTATTATCATATTATGCATTTCCTTTTTCCCTTACTTTTCTATTTAAAAAGCATGAAAGATTTTAACTGTGTTCATTCTTTGTCTTCATTATTTATAAAATGATTTTAGATTAAAATTGAGGATTAATTAAATAAAACAAAATTAATTTACTGAAAAAGACATACTGTGCCCTTTTCAGTATATATTATAATAATTGCATGACTATTAGAAAGTATGTAAAATACATGAATTGTTAATGTTATTGATTAAGCAGTGGCTAAACTGGACTATAGAGTTAATGGAAATAAGACTGTGTATATGAAAATTTCAAAAATGGAAAAGGAAGTAAGTACGAAAATAGCTTAAAGGGATCACAACTTTAGGTTTGTTGACTGGTTCAAGTCTCTTGGAAGTCTGGTCGCATGCAATAATAAAATAGAGTGGATAGCAGCGAGAAATAGATGCTATTCCTTACTGCAAAGAGACTTGAAGTTCAGATCAGTCGATCAATCTAAAAGAATCAAAATCCTCATCTACAAAGCCATAGTAAGGCCAGAGCTTATTTATGGGTGTGAGACTTGGACCTTAACCAAAAACTCAGAATGCACACTCAACTCCTGGGGGAGGAAAATATTGAGAAAATATGGGGTGGAATCTTTGAGAATGGAATTCGAAGAAGAAGAAAAAATGAGGAGCTGCAGGAAATTTATGATGAACCTGATATTGTAGCATTGGTAAAAAGAGCCAGAATCAGATGGTTAGGTCATGTGGAGAAAATGTCAGACCAAAGAATGCCAAAGAGGATACTGCATGAGAAGCCGGTTGACAAAAGAGGTAGAGGACACCCTCGGTTCAGATGGCTGAAGGATGTGGAAACGATCTGAGATGGCTGGGCGTTCGAAGATGGAGGAAAGTAACAGAAGATCGTGGAGATTGGTTGGCTGTAGTGGAAGAGGCCCGGGTTCTTGCAGGAATATAACACCATAATAATAATAATGTTATTGATTAATAATGTGTTATAATTATAGAGTTGAATATGGTGCAGGTTACTGAAAGCTTCTCTGGGTATAAGATATAAAATAAAATAATATAAATTATAGCAATATATATATAAACATTTGCGTGTGAATTACACAAAACTGTTTTCTCAATTTTATGCTAAAATAATTGTGAGTTTTTAAAAAGTTTTATTTTGTTAACCAATTAACAGTTTATAAGTCCAAACCTTATATTTATAACATGTTTATGTTCAAATTACTTACATTGAAGCTGGCCATCAAACGTGACTAATTTTGGTTTTGCTGAAATATCTTCATTAATTTCTCTCAAAGTGATTTCTATCTCTTTTACTTTCTGAGGAGGGTCTTCATTTTCTACTTCAGCTTCTTGTTTTGCAAAAACTGAAAAAGAAATATTTCCAATTACAATGTGTTAGAAGAATGAACTCTACTGCGATAATAAATATTACACTTATTACAATTTCAATATAATGGTGTGAATAACAAAGCATTATTAATCAATAAATACAATAAAATATAATGTTTTATATATTTTTCTGACTAATAAGATTAGATGTAGAGTAATGTTTTTACGTTGAATTCTATTATTTGTAATTTTAATGATATGAGTCTATTAATTTTTGTTTTATTAAAATAATCATCAGCATTATCCAATTCTTGCAGGACCTTCATCTCCTCCATGATCTTCCTATATTTAGACAAGTTTTGGTCACCAGAGTCCGAAGAATATCCACTGCATCCTACAGCCAACCAAGTCTATGCTAATCACTCTTTCTTCGACCCAGACACTTCATATAGATTCTTCAGCTCTTTATTTTCTTCATCGAGAAAAGATTCCCTTCTTTAGTCGAATCATAGACTTTTCAAAAGATTTTACTTTCCCAGGTATTCAACAACCTTACATCATGGTGTTTCAGTGTTTCAACTTCGCTGTATAAATAACAACTGGTTTCAGAACAACTGATAGGCTCTTATTTATTTTTTCATTTTATAGTAAAATACAGAGATTTTGTTCATCTGCAGTGAATTTATTAATTAATCCAAATTTTCTCAACTTAATTTATTTAATTATATTAACTTCACTCGACGAGGTAGCATATCTTTCATCATCATCAATGGCTCTACAACTCCTGCAGAGTCAAGGCACTCAATCAACTCCCGCAATTTCAATCGCCAGTCCTCTCCAAGTAATGCTGCCTCCTTCCATTTGTGGATACCAAGGATACTTCGGACATCAGCTTCCACTTCATCAGCCCAACTGAGTCTCGGTCTACCCACCCGCCTTGTGGCGAAGATCCATTTATCTATCAGCATATCATTGGATTTCAAAAGATTTTTGTCACAGACAAAGATGGTGGCAACCTCTTACTAGCTGCTATCTTAGCTTTAATTTCTTAAGGTAATGATAATAGCGATATATATACAGCATCCTTGTATCAATATATTTAAATTAAAGTAACAATAAGTCTTCATTATCGAATCATACTATTATCCATAAAAAAAAGATAAATAAATCTACGAATGCCTCATAGATAAATATTTTATTTAATTTTATAAAAGTTAGTGTTTTTACTTTCATTTACCAATATATATAATATATGGTAAGGGAAAGTATTGCAATCGGGAAAATTTTGGAATATGAGTTTTGAACGGAAATAAACTTTTTGAGGTCCCTTAAGTCAAAATAACCAAGCCTCACAAAATGGTGTATGTGTGTGTAAGTATGTCTAAGTAAGTCTAGCTTAAAAAGAAAAGTCCTATGAAACTGATATTACGTATTAATGCCTTAGGTGTGACAGCAACGTTTTCATTAAAATTGGCTAAGCGGAAGTGGCACATAATATCAACAATTATATACATTGTTACAATTTTCTCAAAAACAGCTCCAAAAAGTTTGATTAAACGCGTTTTTTCTTGTATAATTAAGTGGTATTTAATATCATTTAGGTCTTATTTCCATTCAAGTCACTTTACAGGGCTTAAATGTTCAACATGTCTTACTCTAAAGTACCTTTAATTTGGTTTATTTTTGAATAATTGACCATCTCTCATTATTAAGAGTTACAAAAAAATCCTAAATATAACTTTTGAAAGAATTTGATAATTGAAAAATGGAGAAAAAAGGGACAATGTTTATTTATTTATCTGGAAAATGAATTTCCAGAAATACTAGTCAGATATACGTATAATATATTGTTGGAAAGCAGAGAATTTTAGAAAAAACAATATCTAATATAGAAAGTAATGGAGAGTAACGAAAAATTATAAAAAATAATTTGTGAAAACTAATATTATTTAACAGAAATCACATGTTTTCAAGGAAATTAAATGGAATTTAATAACTAAATTTAAACTTTTCTTAGATTTGAATAAAAGTATTTAAAATCCTCCTAATCAAGGATTTTGCCATGTTTAAAAAACTATTTCATAGTACTTATGTGAAAGAAGAAGTGAAATACAAAAATATTTCATGGATGTATAAAGCATATGTTTATAACCATAAATATATTTACTGTAGTTTAATAACTCTAGATCTGATATTTTATTTAAATAATTAGGTATCAACGTCCATTTATTCTGAAAAATCGTCATGTAACCTTTTAAAAAATTAAATTATTGAATAATTTGATGAATTTTACCTTTGTGAAATCAAAACATTATCCCCTTAAAATTGGTGTAAAAACTTTTGACCAGTCCATCGCAGGCAATGAAAATCTCGAAATTTCTTTGTATTAAACTTTACAATGGAAACAGTTTAATAACTAACAGGCTTACAATCCATAATCATTTAAAGGTTGAATATAGAGATGTACTTTCAAATCTCTCTAGGAATACATATATTGCTCACAGACTAGAGTTATGTGGTTTACAAAAACAGATGGAGTACAGATGTTTTTTTTGTTTGTTAGCCGTAAACTTTAAGCTATAGCTCCGTTAAAAATGCACTTCAAAAATTTTATAATTGCTCAACATTGACAGAAAATAATATCTATTCAAAGTAGAGAGGTAAATGAAAGTTGTGTGTTGTGCGCACCAGATTTTTTTGTCATATATTAAACTTACAGTTAAATAAATTGTAATCAGAATCAGAACTATAATCTTGTTCTTTGGTGGTGGTAACTTTTAATTGATTCACCATCACTTCCATGTTCATATGAGATTCACTGTGGAGTACATAACAGAAAAATGTAAGGAATCCCTGTAAGAAATAAAAATAGATAAATATATTAATATTAATTATCAAAATAACATAGTTTTAAGTTATAATTATCTCAAATGATGATTTTTGACACTCACCAACAATCCAGAAAGGAGGCTGAAGGTATATGAAACAATGGTACTCGGAGAGTTGCTGTATATCACACTGAATATTGCCACTAAAACTATTGAGCAATAAAGAATACCTATTCTTTTCATTAGTCCGACCCTAAAACAAAAAGTAAATAAACATATAAGGAACAAAAATAATAACAATATAAAGAAAAACAATGCATGATGGAGCCCTGATATAGGATTGTTTTTCGACTAGATGTCTTTATTTAATTATATCAAAATGAGAGTTTGATGAACTATGAATAAGATAAATACATAAGAGCATCAGATCAACTAATCATGACAATATGCAGAAGTTTATAAAGTTTAAAATATAATAGTTGTAAGACATATTGGCTCCTGGAACTCCATGCAAAGGTGCGTGGATTGATGTTTAGCTTTAAGGTGTTGGAACATTCTGACCCCGAAAGCACTTGTTTCTGACTTTATTGACTTTTGGGGTTTCTTTAAAATGTATATAAAAAAACCCAGATATTTCTTAATTTTAAGGATAATTCTAATATAGTTGTTTAGATAAGAATTTAAAAAAGTACAACTGTATTATAAAAATAAAAAACATAATTCAATAAACAATTAGAAAAAATGTAATACCTGTGATCAATAATATGATCTATTTTAGCCTTCTTTATGGTACTGAGATAATGAAAGCGGCGGAGGAGACTAAAATACAGCATACAGAAGAGACCAGTAATAAAAAACAATGAAATAACAGCTGTGCAGAAAGAAGGCGAACCGACAGGTAACCACCAAGATTTATTGAATTTGCTTGTTGAGGATTCTGCGGCTCCGCTGATCAAGCAAGGTAGCAATGCGAGACCTTGAAAAAATGAAAATAAAAGAGATAAATAATTCTACTCAACATTTTATCTATTTAATCATATTGTAACATCTCTCTTATATTTTACAAATAATAATAATATAACCTCGGAAGATCACTTTATACTGTTGATATACTTCCAAAATAAATAAGAGGTTGTTAAATAAAAAAACAAAATTATAAGAATATTAATATATAATAAACTGAAATTTACAATTATTCTATCACGGGTATGGGTTACTGACAATCAGATCGAAACACTCAGACAAACTATTATTATTTACACTATTTATACTAAAATTAAACACTGATTTTAAAATAAAGTCAAGTATGAATTGGCAAGCTAACCTTTTTTCTACAAATACAAATATTACTTATATCTATCGTAATATACACCATAATTGAAAATTGTTAAAAATTATTTAATAAATTAATGTAACAGTTAAAAAGCAAGCTAATATAGTTTCACTAGTTTAGGAAAAAGAAAAGAACTGCTCTGTAGTTTGCCCAAAAAGGAAAATCCGAAAGAGGGAATGGACAAAGGATCCTCTCTTCACTGCAACCACACAACAACTGCTTGCCAAAACAAAAACCTTTGTCCCTCTCCTCTTTGGAATTTCCCTTTTTGGGAAAACTACAGAGCAGTCATTTTCTTTTCCCTGCACTAGTAGAGCTAGATTAGTTTGCCTTTTAATTGTTCAACATTAATTTATTAAAACCTTTTTACTCACTTCCAATAAAGGAGTACATTACAATATATAAATTTCTCCCCTACTATATAGGCAGAATTATTGGCATGACAGAAAAAAAAAGAAAGAAAAAAGAGAAAAGTGCCTATCAATACAATGATAACTGGTTCATTCAAATATTATTTGACCATTTGATGTTCCCAAGCTTTACGTTAGCTTTTCACATGTCTTTTCAGGTTGAAAAAAAAAAAAGTAATGGCATTAATTTTTTGTATTGTTTCTAAAGAATCGAATGGTGAAATTAAAATAAATCTACCTCAATCAAAAGAAGAAATATCTCAATGTGAATGTAAAAAAAGTAACAAATGTTACTGTCCCCGAGGTGAGGCTGCGAAATTCTTCATGCTTTGATATGACAATCTGTATCCATTAATTTTTAACCGTAAGGAATTTTACTGTTATATGATGGCATTTCAAATTATAGATAACTTTTTTAGTTGTCTCAAATACTTTGATTGTAAAGTAGGAAAATTGGTTTGTCCCCAAAATTTGGAGAAAAACGTTGTAACGAATTTTGCTGGCTTTTCTTACAATACTGTTCATTTAATATGACTGAAAAGGGTTAAAAATTATCTTTCAGTGGCAACAGCTATCAGACCATGTGTAATATTGAGGCCTAAAAGAGCTGGCTAGAGAGCACAAATTTTTTCTTCCAAAATATGCTATGTCACAAAAATGATGCGTAACAAATGTTAACATAATTTTGTTACTTAGCATTGTTCAATTAACATAATGAATGATAATTGCAAAATAAGTAGTTTTAAGGTATTTATTTAAGGTTAAGGTTTCATATCTGTCCAATATTTGATTAAATCAGTAGCAGCGATTTTGCATGAAAACATAATGAATGTTACTATTATTCGTATAAATTTAATATTATTTCTTTTATTGTTCATACTACCAATTGATCATATCAATATTTTTATTATAAACATGTAGAGAACATGAGAATGCTAGTTGTTTTTCTGAAAGGCATTGATGATAGAAACAAAAATCATATATTTTTATTTTTTTTCATGTTAACTTGAAATATATATGGTTTACTTCTATATTTATTATATTCATAGCCATTATATCTTTCCAATATACTAATAAAGTTTGTTATACAAACTGTTTGAAGAAAAACATCTTCATTTAATAAGCTTTAATTCCCTATTATGTAAATGATGGTTTAAAAAAAATAAAACTGATATGAAGAAAACTGACTTTTTTTTTGGGGTCCTCCCCTTCCTCGCCTTTAAGGCTATACGGGGTTTCCCCGAGCCAGGGGATGTGGGCGGGGATTCAAAAGACTCCCCAGGCACCAGGACGCGAACTCGTGACTATTTTAAATACATTGTCTTTACCTAATCTTTACGCATAATCACTTAAATATTTTAGGGAACATATGTATATCATTATTTGTTTTTTATATATTTTTTTTTGTTTTAGTTTTTACAATTTCTTTCCCTACATATTAACAGTTATTATTATTTTTTTAATTTTTATATTCCATCACTACAATGTTTTACCTATAAAATAGATTTTACTTTCCTTTCTAATTTCATTCAGTGATTATTATGCAATTATTTTAGTTCCAATATTGTAGTACTGAACCCCTATTACCCAACTGTCCTCGTTAATTTATCCTAAGAGCTTACTTAATACTTAATGTATTACATGTATTTTGTTATTATTCATTGTAATAAGTCTTTTGACCAGATTTATAGTTAATATATATGAACAATACTGTTGTTCTAAAGGGACCTAGTCCCAGAATAAAGATGATTTTTCTATTTCTATTGTATCATAGATAAGTTGCCAGGCAACGGCGGTGCTGTGTACATACGTTAGCCCGTTCGGCTACCCCGCCCACTAAGAAAACTGACTATCCAAGTTTAAGTTTGTTATCTAGGATATCTATACTAATATGTTAGATCAATTTTTCTTCAAAAAGTTGATAATTTTTTTGACTCAACTAAGTGATAATCTAATTATGAGAATATTTGACTTACCAAAAGTTAAGCCTAAAACAGTGGATTTAACACTTCTTGAGTTAGATACAAAAACTACTTCTGTATAAATGATTAGAAGCTTCCCCAAGTGAGAAGAAAAGGCAAGACAGAACATAAGCTCCAAAAGAATCGTTAAATGTAGATACATGTCCTACAAGATTAAATATTGCATTAAATATTAACAGGAATTTGGCTTTGTTTAACTTGGCAAGTGCCTGGCCTATACTAAACATGAAATATCAAACGACTATTATAAATAAAAAAATTAAAATATTTATTTAAGAATATACTTACTTCAGACGGAGTGACCCTAGTGAAATGAACAAAAATCACCATTAAGACACACACAGAAAAACAAAACTGCACTTTGAGCAGTTGAATAAAAGCTCTACGACATCCGAGCAACAGAAGTGTGAGACAAGACTGAAATAGACAGCAACCGCAGCCCAACGTCACAATAGGAGATGACTGGTCTCTTGTCGTATCTCCAAACTTCTGTAATATCAAAGCTTTTTTATTTATCAACCTAATATTTTTAGAACCTAAATAGAAATAAGAAAAATTGTACATCTTGGACATATTGATTTTAAAATAATTTTTAATTAATTAGTTTGAATTAATTATAGCTATATGGTGATTACTAGATATTGTAAGGTTTTACTCTTTAAAAAACTTAAATATGAGATGTTGATGACTAGTTTCTACAAGTTCTTTATTGGTCTTTCTTCTCCAAGCGTTATTACTCGGACCCCAGATCACTTCAGTTATCATGTAGATGATTTTTCTCTCAAATCTTTCAATAATTCATTCTAAGTTCCTAGTTGAAGTATTTATTTACATAAATTTATTTACTCTTGTGAACGATTTTCCTTTAACACAGATCCTGTTATTGGTGTGAAATTTTCAGCTTGCTATTGTATCAATCAATTTGATGTTTACATTCTCCAGTGCTGAGTTGAACAGCATCACTAAAAATCCTCATCTCTCAGTTGCGAATAAGTTTGAACTTAAGGCTTCAGATACTTTTTTTATCAAGACTCTATGTTTAGGATGATCAGAAATATGCCTTCATCAATCTCAATGGATTCTCAGGAACTCCCAGACTCAAGTAATTATTTATTTATTCTGTCCTACCATGCCTTTCAGCTAACTGGATTTTGCAGCGATGTCATATCATACAAACATATGTGTAAAATCCCTGCTATTAAATAAATGAAGTATGAAGTAAATGAGCGGCTGTCCACTCCTACACAAAATCTTTGTTACTAATCCCAGAAATGAGACAGAAAGACAGTTATGTCCACAGAATCATAGCTATGGTGAAATTGACGCATTTGTACATCCTGAGCTACTTCATATCATTTTTTGAGCATCTATTTTAAGATAAAGATTTGCTCCTTCCTTTTCTCACCCCTATTATATTTTCATAAAACTGATATTTCAAATTGGCCATTTTAATATTGACATGAATTAAAAAGAAACTATAAAAATGTATAGTAATATAGATATAAATACTTACAGAAGAAGAATGATGGATAATTAGAGCAGCGTATAAGCCAGTCCTTTGACAGAGGCAACGGCTGGAATTCCCTGCCTTAGAATCAAGATGGCAAGTGGTGAAGTCCCATTCTTGGCCGATCACTTCAGCCCTCGCACAGGTGAGTTTCCAGTCTTCACTGATAAGATCGCTCGCCGGCAACGTCATTTCTAGCTGCAAGCTCACTTCTCCATGAGCAGAAATGCTTACGATATTGGACTTTGATTCATAAATCAATTCACTTCCATCTCTGCAAATCATGGCATTGTAGCATACAGATCATCAAAATTACCATAGGAAAAATAAGTCAACTACTTTGTATACCTAAGGATCTGCGAAGATAATCTTGGTAAAAATTTTGATATGTTTTGGTAGTTAACCACTATGATTCTATTCAATTTATTCCCAGATTGAATCATTACATCTATTCCTATATTGGCTGTGTACCAACGGGGATAGCTAAAAATAAAATAATTTATTTACCTTAACTTGCAAACTTGTTGAATCTTAGATAAGAGATAAACACTCTTTACAAGTTATCATTGTATAACTATTTTAGATATTGCTGCACATATAGCCCCACATCTACACCAATTATTAATTTTGACTATTTAATAATAATAACCCCACATAAGTCACATCTCAAGATGTATGTCATGTGAGGATTCCCTGTATGCGGCACAAATTCACACATACAAGACAACCAGTCATAAAAGAAGTAGATGTTATGGCTATCTGTAGTGGTATATAAAATAAATATCTCAGAAGAAACTTGCTGTAATAATAAATTTTAACTATGTTATGAAAAGTCAAACCCTTTTCAACAGAAACATGAAAAAATAAATAACAAGGTTTTGTCCCCTCCATTTTAAACTATTTTTTTTTGCGGGCCAGAGGTGAGGGGGCGGGATTAATGCCAGAGTTAAAAGCCTCCATCCCAGCTTACTTTTGCTTAACTTTATTACGTGGTAAAATTATTTTATTGAAAGCCGAAGTTACGACCCAACTTTGCAGGTCTTCTTCAGGGCTAGAATGGACGAGATACAAAAAGATAGAGAATTGTGGCAGTTACATAATATTTAGATAGATGTAACTGCCACAATTCTTTATCTTTTTTTATCCTGTCCGTTCTAGCCCTGAAGAAGACCTGCAAAGTTGGGTCGAAACTTCGGCTTTCAATAAAATAGTTTTACCACTATTTAGCCTATTTATGACCGCAACCCCGGACCATATCCTTCCTTTATAATGCAACGGTCAACTATTAAATATTCAATTTAACTTTATTACAGTCTAAATATTTGGGACATTATAACTTTTTATAATTAAGAAGAGATCAGTCCTGATAAAATTTAATTTTTTTTTATTTCATTAAAAAAATTATATTCAATAGTAAATATAATCATAATATAGAACTTATTACATTTTAAAATATAACAACATATTTAATAAATGTCTTGAAACTTTTTTCATAGTTACCTCACTTACTTAGCATGCATAGGTATGTAGTAACGATATTCAACTTCATTTTTCAACTTAATAACATCGATGACAAACTCATTATAAGACAAATGTGCCACTGTTTGGTTCATATGCTCACTCCACATCAAAGCCCAAGTGTCGACTAATGCTTGAAGTTTGCCGACTTTCTAAAAAAAAATTGTTACGTATATAAAACCTTCATTATTTCTCAGTGTGAGGTACAAAAAAAAGTAATATAAATTACCTCAATATGGACAAATGCATTTGGTTGTGACAGAAGTAGATCCACATTTGCATAGAATACTTTGGTAACATTCAAAACTTCATCTGAAGTAAAAGTATGGTTCACATAAGAGGTGATTTCCAAAAGTAGTTCTAAAACTGGCTCTCCTTCACCATGGTAGCATGGTACACGTAAACTAAGCCATGTAAATAGGTTTGACAATAGAAGCAAAAGAGATAGCTTCATATAGCCACGCCTAATCATCTGAAACTGATCATTGAAATTGTAAGAACATTGAATTTCAAAATGTCAAATGTTTGTAACCATGCAATGAGAAAATTCAATTGTCATGAACTGTTAAGTTCGTAATTTTTTTTTCTTCAAATATGTGAATAATGATATTCTAATTCTTAAACTACAATTATCCATTCAACTTTAATTTTCTGGCAGATTTTTCTATTTTTGTTCATCTCTTTTTTGAAAGATAGCTCTTATGTCTCCAAAGTCAGTGGTGGTGACTTTGAGAAATATATAGTGTAATATAAACCTTAATCGAAATTTGTTAAAAATGATTTAATAAATTAATGTAACAGTTAAAAAGCAAGTTTATTTTCCCTTAACTTGTGAAACTAGATTAGCTTGCTTTTTAACTGTTAAATTAATTTATTAAATCATTTTCAACAACTTTCAATTAAGGTGTACATTACAATAGATATATGTAATATTTGCATTAAAACTTTTTCATAGCTAAATTAACTTTCCTAAATCTTCCAAGAAACTAACAGTTAGTATTTTTTTTTTACTTAATATAATTTAAAGTGTCTATCAAATTTCTTTTACTGGTTCACTATTACTGTTTTAGTCTAAAGTAATATCTAACATTTACTGAATTAAATAATATATACAAAAAAAAAAAAATAATTCTTTCAAGGAGAAGTCAATGGAAAAGTATAGTGAGGAATGAAAAACACACAGAAAAGTATAAACTTATATTACTGTGAACAGACATTTCACTGTTAGCAATTAATTTATAATATTTCCACTTGAATTAGTAAATTTTACCAGTCTTTTAAATAGTTTAAACGGAATATCAAACTTTTTTTTCTGTCAAACTAATACTGCATTGATACAAATATTCATAGTTTTTAGAATTTTATCATTGTTCCGTTAAGTCTACGTGTCTACAACTGTTTTACACTTGCTCTAGAACTTAAGATTTGTTTATACATATCTTTCATTATTTTATTTATCTCTTTTTTTTTTTTTAGTATCATAAATTAGTGTTCGTAAATATTGCTTGTGGCTTATATAACTTCTTTCATTTATTATTTTCACTTATATATTCTTATTTATTCAGGATAGTCTCAATAATCCGAACCCCTGGTAATCTGAAATCCCTAGTAACCAAAACAAGAAAGAAAAAAAGTTAAAGTTTATTGACGAGAGACAGAATGGAAATGGCTCAGTTTCTCTTAACATATTACTGGAATTGCTTCATGTGGTAGTGTCTAAATTGTATTGTCATGTCTCTAAATAAAAAACATTAAAACTAGGTTATCGAGAAGTTGAGGAATCTTTATACGTGATTTTTATAGTAGAGATCACAAGGGTGTACAATTTTGAGAGGTATATTATTAGCTGAAAAGTCAATATTTTTCTTTAATAATTTTTTAATAATGACAAAGCAGACTTTAATGCCGGTAATATTGGCTTGATAATTTCAAAAGCAGGCATGGAATACATTTTTTATATTATTTTTTTATTTCACCGGAAAATTTCTTTACATCCAGTTTATTTTTCATTATAGACAAGTCATAGAAGCACCGCAAAGCCATTTAATACTTGCTTGAAGTGGGCAAATGGATACAACATTGATTACCAAAGCTTGTTGCTTTTATGGAATTTACGAGATCAGGTGTTTTCTTTAGTAACAATATTAGTGACTTAACCAACATTATATATATGATCATTTTCAGAAATATTTTAATTTTGTTTGCAATGTTTTTATTTATTAACTGAAAATGTATATATTTTCGTTGCTTTGTGCAATTTTCCATAATTTTAAAATTAACCTTTGATAATCCATATATTTAGATAAGCTGATTATGTCATGTATTCTATATGTTCAGATTATCAAGACCATCCTGCATCTTCTTATTTTTAATTTATTTGTCATTACTTTAATTTTCTTTTTTATATTTCATACATTAAAGTTTTCATGTTGGTTGTTAAGTTATTTGTCTTAGCCTCAAAAAATTTATTACGCATTATAAACGATTATACTTATCCATGTGTGTTTTTTTTCCTAACGTACATACACTCTCTTTTCTATGTCTCCATGAATCGGTTCAATAGTCAATGATACCTACACTATTAAAATTTCTTTATATTAAAACAAACAACAATTTAACATAACCATTATTTAATTATTACATCAATCATTATCTGGCGCAACCTGTCGGAGATACAATTTGAAAAATCTGGCTCTTCCCAACGAGCTACTCCAGGCTCAACTGTTAAGCAGTTCCTCAATGTATGACCAGTAAAGCTGAGAAAAAAAAACACATATTATTTATTAAAGAGTAATATTGGAATAAATGGAAGAGATCATCATAGAAAAATATACACTAGTGAAAAATAAACATTTATTTATTTTTTAACTAGGGATACCCTAATGGTCTGCCTAATGGTGGACCAACCCCCTCCCCCCCATTTTACAAATTGAACAACTGTTCATTTAATTATACTACTTGTTGCTCAAATTACAAAACCGTAATTTACATTTATTCTGTAGTTCGGATTGTAAAATTTTTTATCAACATAAAATAAATGATATGGAACCATTGTTCAGACAAATTTTTAATTTATTTAAAAATCTATATTATACATCCCACCTTATTGTCAGTTTATACTATTATATAGTTATAATTATTCTTATTGTTAATTTTGTAACCATAAAATATATTCAACTTCTTGTCCAGTTTTATATAAGCCCAACATCAATTTGAGTTTTTATTTGCAATATTTTCATTGTACATTATATTGAGCTTTCTTTTATGTTTCATAATAATTATAATGAAATGTCTAGATCAAAAAATAACTGCTGTCATCTAGGGAAAATCAAAATACCACCTCCAAATGAATATCCGACTGAAATGAATAATTTATATTTAATTAATAAATGTAATTTTTTTGTATTGAATAATGTTCTAAAATGATTTTATATATGTAAAATAAAACATTACATGGTGGCTAAAAACTTTTTTATATAATAGAGAGATAGCGTTAAGCTAGGTTTCCACTGGAACCTTTTTTTAAAATTTTTTTTTTTTCGATTATCTCTTATCTTGCCATTCCTGGCATATGGAACGAGCGAGGGTTGTTCTAGAGGTAAAACTAAACCTATTTTAACCAAAGTGGGAAGGTCAAGATTCATTTTGTGGGTCCGCCACAAAATAAATTTTAACTTGCTGAGGCAGGATTCGAACTGGTGCCATTAGACTAGAGAATGTTAAAGTTTACACTTTAACACACTCGGTCATCATGAGTGATCCACCATTTTTATAAATTATCTTTTAAATATTATTTACCTTATTGTTTTTGATTATTGTTCATTAGTAATAATTACATAAATTATTATTTATTAATAATAAACAAAAACTAATAGTCCGTTGTACAGACCCCTTTTTATCGAATTATTAACATCCGCCTGAAACTTCGTAAAAAGTTTAATCTCATCGTAACCCACAACTATTATATTTACGAAAACTCTTGAAATTTGGGCATTTTCATTCTGGAGGGTGGCAAACTTTGCCTATTTAATTAGTATTAAAAACTCTTAAATACCCATTTGCTTTCTACTTGATTCGTAAGATAATTTGATCACAAAATCGATAAAAAATGTGGCCTTCAAAAATATTGGGCCGTCTGTCCTATATAATCTCGTTATTTTGAAGGCCACCTTTTTTCTTGATTTTGTGATCACATTATCTTACGAACCAAGTAGAAAGCAAATGAGTATTTACTAGTTTTTAGTACTTAATTAAATAGACAAGCGCCCTTACTCAATCTCCGCTGGCTTTTAATACCAGTGAAATGTTTGAGGAAGAAGTGCAGGGATCTCCTGAATCCTTGCTTTTCCTCTACATGTGGGAGGATAAGTATGGTTCGGAGTTCCCATGGCCGATTGTAAATAGTGTAAATAGGTATGCCTTCATCTAAGATGTTTATTTTCATTACTTTTTTTTTTAAGATAATTTTAATTCTATTTTATTCATTTATTTTCGTTCTATTATTAGTATTATTTATATTTTCTTCCTTCACTATGATATTTTATTTTGTTCTTTTATAGCTTTATATTATATTTTTTTTTTAAATTTGTAAATATGGTGTGAATTTGCCCTCAGAACTCTATTATAAATGTCCTTTATTGAGACAGATTGTAATATTTATCAATAAACAAATAATCAATTCAATTAAATAGACTAAGTTTGTTCCTCTCCAGATTGAAAACGCCCCAATTCCAAGAGTTTTTGTAAATAAAATAGTTGTAGGTTGTGATGAGATGAAACTATTTACAAAGTTTCAGGCGGATGTTAATAATTCGATAAAAAGGGGTCTATACCACGGACAATAAGTGTGATTATTTATTAAATTGATCTATAGGCAAAGAATAGTGAACAAATAAATAAAAACTAAAAGAAGAAATAGTTTCAAAAATATGGTTTCATAAGTAATTTAAGTGTCATAAATAAAAAGCACTGATAAAATAGTATCAATTTTTTTTCAATACAAGATAGCTTAGAAAAGAAACGTGTTTAAATAAAGTTGTTTGGATGTAAAATAAATTCAATTTATTGGGAAGAGTAGATTTTTTTCATTACCCAGTTGGACAAACTGCCATCCCCAAACTCCCAGAAGCCGCAGATCTCCAAAATATTCCAGCTTCTTCTATTTCTTGGCAAGATCCTGGAGTCAGTATGTTGATTCGGATACTTCTTTCGATAGTTGTGGCTCTTGTCTGAGCATGGCATATGTATGTAACACTTTTCTGAAAAAAAAAATCTAATTTCATCTTTAAAGAAAAATGGAGATAAAAACACCAGATTGAAATTATTTGATCCAAAACTTCACTAATAATAAAAATTAGTTTACTTCCTCAATTTTAAAATTTAATCCAAAACTTATTAAATAAAATTTTATTTATTTATCTTTATTAACGATAATTAAAAGAGCAATAGGATAAGCACACCAGTGATGGACATAGGTAAGGAAATTTTTTGGCTTATGCCGCTGTAATTAATATATATTAGTTATAAACTTCTTCGTTGGACATTTAAAATCTCTAGGGTCCCCTTTTTCTGTTTAACACTTTAAAATTGAAAAAATATACAGTTATGTAGGTATAATCACCAATTAAAAAAAACACCTCTTTGCACTAGTGATAGACATTCCGAAATTCAATGGTTCTAGTAATGGACAGGGGGTCGGAACCAGTAATGGACATACCTCAGAAAAATTCTAAAATTATTTATTTAACTATAAAGATACCGATAAAGATAAGACAACCACTCACTTCAACTTACTCTTAGCAAAACTGTTAGTAAGAAAATAAGAACACACTGATCTCAAGAGCACTATAGAAACAACAATGATAGACTTTCTAAAGTTTTCTTTAGGGAACTTTATTCCTACAGTTCTCAATAGATGCAGCATACAAAGTTTTCTCCATTCTGTTGATGAGCAGGATACTCCAGTATTCTGAGAGAGAGGTTGGGGAATACCAGAGTGGATTCAGAAGGAGTAGATTCACTATAGACCATATTCCAAGCATAAAGATCATGCTGGAGAAATGCTATGAACATAATATTGATCTACACCACCTCTTCATAGACTACAAGCAAGCATACGACTGTGCAAACTGAGGCAAGTTGTATCAGGCCATGGCAAAGGTGGGTATACCGGAAAAACTGATACGATTAGTACATGCGACCTTGGAAGTGACACAAGGAAGAGTAAAAATACAGTAGCTTCCATATCAACAAAGGATTAAGACAAGGAGACCCCCTATCTCCCATCCTATTCAACATTGTTTTGGAAATAGTGATAAGGGCCATTAGAACAAATCCTGGGAGAACCATCTATAATTGACTGACCCAGCATCTTGCCTTTGCAGATTACATTGTCATTGCTGGTCGCACACGTGCATCCTTAATAGGAGCTTTCGCAGAATGTGAACAGGTCTCAAAAATGGCAGGACTCAATATTAATGAAGCCAAAACTAAATATATGAAGACCTCTCAAGGTAATTGAGGGGCAACGAATGGCCTTAGAACTGGAGAATACTTTTTCGAGCAGGTACAGGAGTTTTAATATCTTCGGAGAAATGTAAACGAAAATAGTGACATACAGGCAGAAATAAAGTCACGCATGATGGCCAGAAATGGATGCTTCTGGACGCTCGGAAAAGTACTTAGGTGTTGCCTTGGCAGTTAAAGAAGGCCGTATATGTTAGCATTATTATACCAGTAGTGACATATAGCAGTGAGACCTCACCAGGAAGTCAGAGCAAGTGCTAAATTTGTGGGAGAGAAAAGTCCTGAGAAAGATTTTTGGTGGAGGCAGAGAGACTATCAGGAGCTCTGTGATCTATATAAGGCCCCGGATATTGTCACCTGCATTAAGAAGAATAGAATTAGGTGGCTGGGGCATTTGCAGAGGATGGAGGAGCGGTGTATCCCGAAGAAGCTTCTGTGGACACCCTGGTTAAGGACAAAGAAGAGTGCGTCCCAGATTGCGGTGGCTGGAGGACATGGAGGAGAACCTGAGGACACTTAGAATCCGAAGGTGGAGAATGTTCTGCAAGGACCGTAGTGCCATCGAAAGTAAAGTAAGTCAAAAGAGAGCATATTTCGTCAATATAAGAAAAACTGGAACCTTTAAATCAACAAGGAAACTTATGGTTTACATTTAAAGTCCAACATGTCCATAATTGGTGTGTTGACCCTAATACCTTTAGAGATAAAATTTTTATATTTTTTCTTGACACTTGCTTACGTTGAGTAGCCTGAATAAGTGAATGAAGAACATGCATTTTAATTTAAAAAGAGATCATATTTGTGATTGTATTCTTATTTGTTATTTCCTCCATAACACCTGATTATTCAAAATTATTTTGAAAAAAATATTAAGCATTTGTAAATCTTATATAGTATCATTCGCACTGAACAAAAGATGTTGCCATCTGGTCTGACCAACTAGTAATCATTATTATAATTAAATAAATTCTACACACTTTCAATGTAAATAATCATAATATTCTTAAATGAAGTATATAAATTATATACCTGAACATTCTTGACGTGTAAAATGGAACCCCATGGCTTAAGATCTTCCCAAACTTCGGATTTAGGATTCAGAGCAAACAAATTTCTGTCTTTGGTCCAAGAATAGGAAACCCCCTGGTTTGTTGAGACACAGGTTAAATCAATATTGTCACCCTAATGGAAATTATTATAAAATGAATGGTTTTATTCATTGATTAAAATCTTCAAACATTAATTAAATTCTTAATTGACAATTATTATATTAAAAAAAATATTGCTACCTGACATAGTATAATAAAAAAAATAAAAAATGAATGTCAGCTTATTGAATTATAGAAGAACATGAGATATTATTTCGGAAAAATAAGAAATGTTAAAAAAATCAGGAAAAACATAGAAGTCCTTACTTTATTTATTGAGGCAGTCATCGGTGAAATATGTACAGCAGGTGGACTCTGCACTTCAAGAAATACAGATCGACACTCTTTCAGTCCCCAATCTAAGACCCGACAAGTGTACCTTCCTGTATCTACTGGTTTTGCAGATTTTATGCCTAGAACGGCTCTGTATTCGTCTTTTGAATTTTTAGGCAGTTTTTGTAACCATAATTCACTAAAAATAAATATAATTTAATATGAGTGAAATATATTTGTGAGTTTTTTCACTTAAAGATTTAATCAATAATCAATAAAATAAATAAATTGTATCAAGAGGAAAGTGTATAGAACGGAAAATAACTGCTGTTAACTCAGCAACTACATCAAACTAACTACTAACTCTAGATAAAAAACCATTTTCTATACACATTTCTGATTTAAAATCTTTATTTTGTATTAGGATAGTAAGAAGTTACTAGAGTTCGACACAAATACGAGATATCCTGTGATCTCCTACCCTCCTAATACTAAAATATGAAAGTCACTAAAAAAACTTTTTTATATAATAGAGATAAAAAATTCACAAAATTAACCACAACTGCATATGGTTGTGATAATTAGATTATTTTATACAATTAATAATTGACCCTATGGTTAATCAAGGAGATGGTCCAAGTGGCACAAGTCAAGAATAAGTGATATAAGTAATAGAAGCAATTTGTTGAATACCACTGACTGCTTTGGCACACATTAAAAGATATCTTCAGAGCTACAAATAAGGCAAACATTTTGTTTATTAGGGTTTGAAGGTGTAAAAACCTAAGGTTATTAAACATGTATTTATTACATTTATTCTTGCTCTCTTGAGTTAAAAAACTCCTTGGGGGAGAAAGGGAATTATAATTATTATATTTTGTTCAATAGTCTCTGGGTATTCAGAAAATATAATATTGATTTTATGTTGGATTCATCGCTGCTTAATATTACTGATATAACAGGCCTTAGACAGGGTTATCTGGGCTTCAATTATAAAATTCAATAAAAATAAAATTAGGCATTTCCTGGAAATATGTTAACTGTTAGCAAGTTATTGCAATGTTACTGATTAGATATGAGTATATTAGATTTTTATAGCTTATTCTTAGTTTGGTTATGACAACCTCCTCTCAGCAAATAGGGTGATTTGAAGTACTGTATGGCTTTACTGACTTTTTAATGTTTTTAATTTAATTCTTAGGCTTTCATTCCACATGGATATATTTTGATTACTATAATATATTTTGAGGGGAAGACCATTGTTAAAGTCAACAGCTGATAATAATTAATTAAAGTTTGAAACATCAGTATTAAATAAATAATTTATAATATTTTTTAGAGTTAGTTTTTGCCACCAAACAGACAATCTCCTGTTCTTATATATTTTCAAGGAAAAAATCAATCTTAAAATACTATATTTACTTTGAGCTTTTATTTGTGTCAATGGAATAGCCATCTTTGTACCAGTAGAATTCAATCTGTTCAGAACCTTGAGCAATGCAAGAAAGGACTACTGGTTCGCCTTCGAGAATGTTTTGATTACTGACTTGAATGCCCTGAAACATTAAAAAAAGCAAATTTTAACAATTAAATTATCTTAAGATAGTTTTCATCATATCAATTGTGTCGTAGCAAGAGAATGTTTTCTGAGATTCTCAAGCATAAGTGAGGCCAGTCATGCTACTGGAGACAACCCACACGGACCAGCCATAGGAGTGATGGTCCTACCCATTATCAGATATGTATCAGGAATCACCATGTTTTTTTTCAGGATATCAGTAGCTCCTGCTGCTAATTATAACTTATAAAGTCTATCAGCTGTTCATTGCAAGCATCATTTCATTGTTAACTACTTGTAATTGTGTTCAAAAGTCCGTTCAAACTGAGTTCTCCTTTATCTGATTGCACCGAAAAAGAAATGTAAGCAATGGTAAATTTCCTCAATTCAGAAGGTATGAAACCAGCAGAGATTATTTGTCGAATACAGTAGAAATATGGAGAAAGGTATTTGAGTGGAAGCAAGATCAACGAATGTATTTATCGCTTTAAAAGAGGTAGAATTTCTCTGTCTGATAAACGGATATTGGTCGAAAATATTGATAGACATTACATTTATTATATTCTATATATATAATGTGGTAATTTTAACAATAAATCAATGTATTGTGTTTTTCCAATATTCCTACTCTTAGCATGATGATAAATACTATTGAATCTGTGAAAGATAAGATAGTATAAGACGCATACTGTAAGATGGAGTAACTTTGGAGCACATTTCAAAGTTTTAAGCCGCTTCTATCTTTATTTTCAAAGTTAAAATGCTGAAAAAAATATTATTATTTAAGGTCAGTCTTCCAGGTTAAAACATTAACTCAAGAAACAAGAGTATTTTACTAAAAAAATAATAAATTTGTCCTTATTTTACACTATTGATTGGGCTAGAATTGGGACAGTGCATTATCTCTATTAGAAACGGTAGGAAACATGATTTTGTACCAATGTTATCCCACAATATTGTGTAGACTCATTATTTACAGAACAAACAACAAAGAAAATGAGTGTATACCAATTTCATCCTACAATATTACATTTAAGAGCACATGAAAACAATAAATTCAAATTAATGATACAAAAAGATTGTAAATCATATTTTTTTAAACAATTAGGCCTTGAAAATTAACTGAACAAATAAAAAATGTAACAAATATTATTTAAACACTTCGTAGAATTTAGTTTTTGTTAACTGAAGACAAGAGATCGTTGTAAACTTTTAGCTCTTTCACTTTGAAAATTTCTAGCCAATTTGTACTTTGAGTAGTGACTTTTATCATGCGTTGAAGGCTATTTCCAGTTAGAAGGCGATTTATTCATGGCTGATATTAATACTTCGGTAATGTAATGTTTACAGTTCTTGAGAAACAACCGAAAGTTTCATGAAACCTAACTGCAGGAGTATAGTGAACTAGTGTTCTCGAACTGCCGCAAGATAGTAGCGCAATACATGCCTACGTAGTCTCTAGTAAAGACCCCTTTTTATGGAATTATTAACATTCGCCTGAAACTTCGCAAATAGTTTCATCTCATCGTAACCTACAACTATTTTATTTACGAAAACTCTTTTGAATTGGGGCATTTTCAATCTGGAGAGCGGCAAACTTTGTCTATTTAATCAGGTACTAAAAACTCGTAAATACCCATTTGCTTTCTACTTGTTACATCGTTACATAATTTGATCACAAAATCGATAAAAAAAGTGGCCTTCAAAAATATTTATCCGTTTGGTCTACACCCTCAAATTTTCAAAATAACGAGGTTATATAGGATAAACACCCCAATATTTTTGTATGCCACTTTTTTAATCGATTTTGTGATGAATTTATCTTACGATCCAAGTGGAAAGCAAATGAGTATTTACGATTTTTTTGTACCTAATTAAATAGACAAAGTTTGCCTCCCTCCAGATTGAAAACGCCTCAATTCCAAGAGTTTTCGTAAATACAACAGTTGCAGGTAACGATGAGATGAAACTATTTACGAAGTTTCAGGCGGATGTTAATAATTCGCAAAAAAATGATCTGTACCACGAGCTAAAGAATCGGAGGCAGTGAAGACTTTATAAGTAATGGTTTTATTCATAATGTCTGTTACAAATGGCATCTAAAATACAGAGTAATGTACTATGGATATATGGTTTGACTACACGAGTTCACTCCAGGTCTCCTACAGTGAAGAGTGTGACTTCAAGAATGTAACTGCATGAGTGATTTGGTCTGAGGAGCATGGGGTTTATGTACCCAAGAATGATAAATGAGTGAAGGAAAATCGGAAGAGGATGGCAAAGGAAGTTATCGATATTTAATATTCTTAAGACGAGATCTGTGAGAAAGTGCCCTTTTGCTGAAATCGGTTATTGTTCCCTAAGTCTTGATAATTAGTCTTCTGTCCGGCCGGTACATTCTAGATAACTATTTCTAAGCTATCAGAGATGGTATCATAGTTTGAATTATTATGGATAGCTATTATATTATATTATGTTATTAGTTACCTCCATCCTCAGACCCTGTTCGTGACGAAGACGGGCGGACGACTGCAACATGACCTGATCGCCGAGTCTTCCTCTCTCCGACAGCCTCTGCTGAACATCGCGGATCTTGCTGAGATCGTGCCGGTAGGCAAAGAAGTGGAAGATCAGCTGCCCCTGGTCGCTGCGGATGGAAGAGGCTTAACGTCTTGTGCTCTCAATGACTATTACATGACTTAATTGTGATTACCTGATGTTGAGAATTTTGAAATCTTCGAATCGGCTCAAAGAAAGCGGCCTGAAGAACCTCTGGATCTGTATAAGAAAAATAAAAATTAATTAGAGAGTGCTACCACTGGGTAGTATCTCTTCAAGCCTGTGCATGCCATTATTTATATTTGCGCATATTTACTAGTTGTATTTGTATACAGTTGTAAATTTCATTAAATAAACAAAAAAAAAGTCATAATTATTTATAATAATGAGTTTATTTTCTGAGTTCTAGAAAAACTAAATTTTAAACGCAAAGCCAATAGCTCTATCCTGAGCTCCACAAATAACCAATGGCACAAGTAGAATAGCTAGCGATCCCAGAGAGGAAAAAACCAAATTGCCAACTTTATTAGCATTAGCGAAAAATACTATGCAGTATTTCTTTATTATTATTTACATAAATATATGACATGGTAAGAATGTGAATAGCAATAAAATGGAGTGAAATAACTGCAGCAGTTTGTTCCAGGCGCCACACAGTTGGCTGACATAGGCAATCAAGAGAGAGGGGAGTAGTTAAGTTAATATTTCTGTAAAAAATACGTAAAACAAATGTTTATAAGTTGGTTCAATAAGAGAAAAGAAGCAACAGACGAGACAGAATATACATGTGTAAACATTGAGTATGATAGTTAACGTTGAGAATTGGGCGCCAATTATTCCATTGTAAGATAGTAAATGTTCAAATACGTTACTGAATCAGTCAGCTGATTTAAATCTTCCAGATATGGATTTCATTTTAAAAGGTAGGAGCTTTGAAATATTAGTATAATATAATATAATGGAAGTTCCGCTATATTTCTGAGAATTTATTTAATTTTATTAAGGTTCAACATATTTCATAATTAAACATATATATTTTATACTTGTAGGCAAGGACTTCACATAATTATAATAATAAAAATACTCATTTTGATCACAACACTCCTACTTTATTTTGATTTTTATACCGACGTTTCAGCCCTTAGGCCATTTTTAAGGGATAAAACATTTAACAAATAAAAAATCATCAAAGCCTAATTATACTTTCCTGCTAACTATTATCATTTTATACTTATAACAATATACCTGTTTAAAAAATACTTAAAACAATTGGACTGAATTATCCTTGTCATACAAATATAATCAGCCAAATACTAAACCTCAGCTGGTCTTAACAATTAAAAACTCCATTATTATAGTATCTTTATGCATTATTCTAGTTCACAATATTAAATTATAAATAAATAATATTTATTTACAGCCCTATTATCCATTGTACATATTTTTTAAAACAAATATTTTATTTTATAATATTAGTATTAAAAATACAAATACTACTACACCACGACCTTTGTTTAAAACTATCTAAAAATTAATTAAAACCGAGAGGTAGAGCTTAAAAAGACGAGTCTTTGAAGAAAAAGGTTGAATATAAATTACAAAGTGTATTTCATCCATAGTAAAATGAACCTTGTTTCCATTCATAAGCACCTGATTTCAAATAAATAAGTCCAGACAGCTGAGAACCGAAATGAGTTTAAGGTTACCAATATTTTAAAGCTAGACTCATTGGAAAATAAAATGGACAAATCAAGAAAAAAATAAATCCTAAAGATATTTCCCTTTACCTTCAGCGATTGAGGAAATAAAATTCATATATTTTATATTCGATATTCATAAATTCGTTTCTTCCAAATATGAGATTTTCCCGAGAGAAATTGGAAGAGAAGGGGATTAGATGTTTATTTGAGAAAAAGAAAAAGAAAATCTTTGAAGTCAAAGAAAACAATCAAAGCCCCTATGAAGGTTTTTCTTTTATTTTTTTTCCTTCGTAGATCCAATTTCCCACCGCAAAGGTTTAGTTAGGTCTTATCTCTAGGGGCAATGCCATTGTTTTCATCGAACCAATCTATTACTATTTCTTCTCAATACGTAAACTGAAGTCCTTATTTTTTGAGTAATTTTAAAATTGAATTTTATTATTCAGGTGTATAATGAATATTGGTTTATTATTTTCAATAATGAACCATTGTAATCGACCAAAAAATTACAAAACTTGACCCCCTTCAAAATTTGAGGTTTTACTTTTCAGGATACGTAGAATTCGAAAAACGAATAGAAATTTATTTGTCCGTCCGTCGTCCCCGTATTTTCTCTGAAATTTCTAGACCGATTTTTTTTTTTCAAATTTGTATTTAAAGTTAGAGGTCACTTGAGTTTGATCCTCCTACATCGGCATAACTATCCGCCTTTTCCTTTCAAATGGCGGCCGCAAAATCTGCCTTGTTATGGACTGTAGCGCCTAAACGAATGTACCGATTTCAATAAAACTTATCTAAATATTTCTTCGCGATGCCCTGTAAATTTATCCATAAAACATACTTTAACGAAAAGTAGCTTGAAAAAAAGTTACGAGAGATGGTAAAATTAGATTCCAAATAACTTAAAAAGTATACACTTTTTGGTCGACATCGTTACATTTTACATGGTCAATATAAAAAATTAGGAAAGAGATGTTTTACTATTTTCT